TGTACCGAGCATTGTCTGCCCCATTGTGTGACATCACGGCCCGATAACTGCCGATAAGACCGCGGCAATGCTCGGCTCGTGTGCGCGTGTACATGCGATCGTTCGTGTGTTTGCCCGCGGAGAGAGGAGCTGCTAGATACGAAAGAAATATAATGTGGGTAGAGAGGTATAGAGCAACGTCGTTGCCCCGGTAGGAGCGCGCCTGATGGAGGTCGAGTGACTTCGCGGGCTGCGCGCCCCTTTATTCTTTCGATTCCTCTTCCTCGAGATCGCGTGCCGTTGCTAAACGCCTCTCGTCCTTTCTGCCTCCCTCGACGTCCAGAGACGACGGAACGCGCCACGAACTCGCTTTCGCCGATATCCGTCTACGTACTTGCCAAAAATCGACAAATAAGTGTCGTTTTGTCCGCTCGTTAGCTCGATAACGATCTTTCCGTATTCGGGATCGTCGTTACACCGAACTGCTGAAAAACCCGTGTGATTATTTAGTTGCGCAAACGGGCGATTTTATCGCGGGCTAGAGGAAGAAGTTTAATCGCGAGGTTTAACGCGTTCGTTCGGCGCGAAACGCGGCTTGAAAGGCCGAGGCACGACTGCACTCGGCTTTCTCGAAATTCCCGGCAATTTCTACAACTTTGCTGCTTAACTCCGCCGGTCTCATTAGGACGTGATTTCTGTTCCAGGCGCTGGAGTCTCGGAGGCCCGTGGCGCGGTAAGTGGCACTTTCGCCCTTTTCATTCCAGACAGAGCCGCGGGTGAGTAATCGTTTAAACCCGTGCGCCACGGCCCGTGGCATTAACGTTGGGCGAGAAGAAGAAGAAGGAAAAAAGAAAAAAAGAGTGTCATTGAGAAGGAAGTGCCCCAGTCCACCGCGACCACCCCCCACGCGTGCCACCCTTCTCTGGCCCGACGTTATATTGACCCAACACAGAAGCGCGCATTCATGCCCGGCCGCGTGGCTACCGGCCGAATATGAATAACAATCAGAAACTATAACCCCTCCGCGCGATCTATATAACCTTCGTAATATATGTATACGGTGCCCTTTACGAGCCACGGGCATTTTTATGATAATCAGCCAATCGGGGGACGACCGAACGCTCCGCTGATTTTCCCTTCTTCTCGCTACCTCTTCTCTTTTTCCGTTGTACACAGAAATCGTCGTTCTAATTTTGTCCGTTGCGACGCGGAAAAAGGAGCATAACGAAAATCCGCAAATCGGATTTTCAGAACGAATCTGGCCGATTCGCAGGGGGACTTTTTTGGTCACGGCAAACATTCTCTGTATTCATTTTTTTCCTTCCTTTTGTGCTTTTCACCGAACCTAATTCGATAATTGTATCGCTTTGGGGCGGGGAGCGATTTCGATGAAATATTTGTCGGATCACGACGAGCTTACGAATATTTCGTCGGACGAATTTCCAACGCTCGGCCCAATTTCACGAATCTTCGCAACGCTCGCGGTACGATTCTTTCTTCCTGGCCGCGTCTTAGTTCCGCGCGATTTCGTCGGTTTCGACGGGCAAACCGTTTGAATATCTCTCGAAACGTGGTCAGCCTCTTGTTCGCGGGGCCATTCACGAGCGCTTCTTCATCGGCGTCTGGCTGTCGGGCTCGCTGGGCGGCCGTTAAGCGAAATACTCGTAGAAGCGGCCGCGCGCGTTAACCCGTGCTTCGCGCATTGTACAACGATTTGTACGGATTTCAGTTCTTTTGGTGTGTGGGCGCGTACACGCAACGGCTGCCTCGAATCGTACGTCTTGAGAGCGATGTGTTCTATGCTCTTCTCTCCGACGCGCACACGGAGGGAAAGAGGGCACCGCGTAGATACAGAGATTGGTTAGAGAGAACGGGAAGAGGAGCAAGAGAATCGCGAGAGAGGAACAAGAAAGAGAGATCGTGGCTGGCCGTTTTGTGCGCGCCGCGCAAAAGATGCCTTTGAATCCTTAATTCCCTTTGAAACTCTCATTCTGGGAGCAAAATGGCGAGAACGAACCGTATTCTTCGGTTGAATGACGTATTGAGCGAGTTTTGTATGCCGTTGCGTCCGCGTGTGGCTCATCCAGAGCCTATGCCTGCTTATACGTAATACGTTCTCTCTTTTCTCTCCCTACCGTTTCTTGCCGCGAAGAAGAGAGCCTACGGCTCGTTGCTCTTTTTTTCTTCTCTTACCACCTTTTTCCATCGCTTTTCTAACGTTCTTTCGAGCGTTTCTTCGTTACTCGCGTCGCCATTTTCTTACTCGCGTTCCTCTTTCAACTTTCGCCGAAATTGCCTCCATCGTTTCGTTCGGTAAAATCGGCTTTCGCGGGAAAACGTTTCCTCCGAAAGTTCCGCGATAATTAAACGGCTAGCAAAGATTACCTGTCCAAATTCGAGGATCGCCTTCGTTACGCGGTAGCTCGAACGAGTGAAGAACGGTGGTCGAAGAGGCACAAAAGGGGGCTACCGAAGGGGCGGCGGATCCGAAAGCCGAGGGAAAGGGTGGGTGATCTTGCGGACTTAATCGGGCATCGATGCTTTCCTTCGCGAACAATCGACGTCTGACTTTGACGCGCCCCCTGACACTTTCTCCGAACTCTCTTTCTTCCTCGTTCTTTGTTCGCTGAGAAATCGACGGAACGCGAAGTCGACGCTCCGATCGATGGTCCATCGTTTACCCGTGGATTCTGTGATTCTTTTGCGAGGAATCGTTCGTCCGTATAATCGAAAAACGAGGCGAAATGCAAACCGATGTCGCTGAAATTCGAAGACTTTTTTTTCTTTCCACCTCTGACGCGAATGTTCTCTTTCGAACAGCGAGAAACTCGCGAGAAAACGTGTTTTCCGTCGTTTTTCGATGGGAAAAGCAGTTCGCGAAACGCGGATTTGGAGGTTCTAGCGGCATCATCTCTGACGAAGTCCCGCAATTGTTCGTTCGAAAACGGAACGTCGAGTCGAACGGAAAGAAACATTCCGAGGAAGGAGAATTTGATCGCGTGCGTTAACGAGACCGAAATAGCGAGGAATTTGTTTGAGAAATGAAAAAGGAAAAGAGAAAAAGTAGGATCGAAGGATGTATCCCTGGTTCGTCGAGGCAGGAACAAAGTCTGCGGCACACGTCAGTTCTGCCAAGAATTCCGCATTATCGGCCGGGTTTCTCGCGGATACAATTTCCCAACACAATTTTCTTTTCAGTCGCCCGAGCGAATCTAGCCCGGCCCGGGCGGTGGTGGGTGGCAAATGGCAAAGGGGTAGGGTGAGAAAGAGAAAGAGTTAGGTTTGATGGAGGGGGAGGCAGAGCAGCGCAGCCCATATTCGTGCATTGTGGCACGTTCCATCGCGTTCTCAACTGAACTGAACTCGACTCAACACTGGAGGACACAATGGGCGGTATGAATAAGTATAACAGACAGACACCGGTACAGACAGACACAGGTAGCTCAGGCCGCAGTATGTGAATGAGGAACCCATTTGATAACACGCCTCCACAGCCACCCAGGTCCATTGTGTCGCTTCCTATTCAGCTGCTCTATGCCCTCTTCTCCTCCTAACCCCTCTTCGCCTCCTTCTACACCCCCACTGCTTCTGCTGCTCCTGCTCTTCCTCACCCTCTCTCCGTACGCTATCTTCCTCCCTTTCCTCTCCGCGTCTTTCGTTCCGATATCGCCGCGGAAATCTTATCCTGTCGAGCCTATACCTTCTGCGCGCGCGAAAAACCATACAACCGTTCATCCTCGTTACGAGCTTCCTCTCGCGCGTTCTCGCCCCTTTCGAATGCTACTTTGTATACTCGTTAACATCATCGCGCCGCCTGATCCGTAGCACCGCAGAGACGAATCTCGTTCGTATCAACGTCCCGTCCGATTTCGGTAACGTCGTCGGCTTTTACGATCTTGTTACTCGAAGATTGGATGCCGTAGGAAGCAGCGACGAAGTTATTCTAGGAATTTTCATCATTTTTTACAAGCTGCTCGTAGCTTTCTTTTCGAGGTAGAAAGGACACACGGTCGCGCGATAAAATGCGGCGGCGTATCATCGTTCGATTTACGTGCTTCGAATGTGGGTCGTTTCCTGAATCGGCGTTTATGAAATTGGCCAATGCTCGTAAGCGTCGCAAAGCGTCGACGTTTACTCGGTCGGCGACGATTCGAATCGGTCCGGTCAGCCATATGCGCGTATCGCGCGAAACACCAAACGATTTCGAGCCGTTATCGTAGAGCTACGACACGGTCGATTAGCTAAAAATCGTCGTGGCCGCGAAGCAACGGAGACGCGGTCAGAATTCGAGGGAACAGTGTGTCGGGTCGAATATTTATCCAAAATGCAATATTCAATCGAAACGAACAGACATTCGCGAAAGGTTGAAAGCGAGTTTACCGGCGGTGTCCATCGGATTCGAATCGATTTTCTAGTCGATGTCGAAACGGACCGGCAACAATGCTCCGATTTTCGGGATCTCGCTAGCATAAATAGCGAACACCGAAGGTCCTATAGGTGTGGTGGTGGTTCCCGTGGACCAGCCAGCGCGAACTATCCCAACGAGGCTCTCCGTACGTACGTGTACGTTGTACACCGAGTACCGACAACAATGAGGCAGAGACAAAGGCCAGGTACAATGCTGATGTTGAACTCGACTGATTTCGACGATTTTTGGCCTTTGCATGTGCATCGCGCGTTACTCGACAATGATTCCCGCATACGTAATCATCGCTATGGGCAGGGAAGGCTGGTACACTCGCGAGGCAGTGGCTCTCACGCGCGCCCTCTTTTTCCCTCGCGATTCAACTTGGTCCCGTTTCGTCCCGTCCCATCCCATCCAATCCCATCCTATCCCATCCCATCCCATCTCGTCCCATCCCATCCTGTCCCGTTCCGTACCGTTCCATCCTGTCCGCTCGCTCGCTCCCGGGGCTTTTCAATGCTCCTCTAACGCACAATGATGCCGCGCCATCGCGATTCCGCGAGCCGTTTATCGGTTTAAATACCAGCACAGGCCGGATAATAATAATCGTAAGCGATAGCCGATTTATGCCCGCAACCAGCCGTGTTTCTAGCGGCTCCCTACAATGTATCTAATCAATGACAGTTAATGTCAAAGCGTCGTGGCTATTTAAATGTGACACCGATAATTACTCGGGCTTTACCGTTTAACGATCCACCGATTTACTCGGATTTTCATTTCGACGCCAACACCAGCTTCTCGAAAAGCGGCACGCGTAGCAAATTTTTTACGTTGCCGAAACGCGAGGGACATTAGCGAAAGATCGCGACAAACGACGGAGCGTGTACTCGGCGGAGAATCGAAAGCAGCGAACGCGACAGGTCTTCGAAGAGCGGCTTAGCCTCTGCTTCGTTCTTTCGCGAGGATTTTTCGTGAATCGGTCGCGAGAAGGACCGATCGATTGAGCACCCCTGACCGCACCTGAATAGATACATTGTGCCGGGGCAGCCTATTGACGGGCGATTGTTCCCTCAACAATAACAACAATATCTGAATAGTCGTCGTGCACATCTCTCGCGCATTGCACGCACCCACGCATCCACACGCACTCGCTCGCTCGCGTGTATGCGTGCGCGTACATCCCTTTGCACGCTCTTCGCACGTTCGCGTCGCGCATCCCTTCACACGCTCGCACGTACACTTTTGCGACGCGATAGAGGATCTCTCGCGTTCTACGTACACGGTTAAGTAGTTAATGGGCCAGTCGGAGCTACTTGTTCGTCGGGTACATAGGGTTTTCCGATTATATCGGGAATCGGGACCACGCGAAGACCGAACCTGTCTTGAGCGAGATCATTGTACCTCATATTCGTCGATCACTTTCGGAAACTGTATGCGACTAAAGATTCGTAAGGTGAACTATGCTTTCGATTTCCTTTTCCAAGTACAGAAGGAATACGATGATACGTTAAGGATGACGCGATTCTATTACGATGAAGAACGGGAATTAGTTAAACAATTGAGCGTAACGCATCGTTGTAAAATATTGTTTATTACCCGTTCGTAAACAATGGCTTATAAAGACTTTGGCGAAACGGCTTTAGTACGATTACAATACTCGATTGAGCGCGCATTACATTTATCGTGAAAATGTATAAGCCAATTGTAATTATAGCGCACTGGTCGATTGTTCGTGATATTATAATAGATTTGCTACATCGTTTGCGTACAAAGAGATGCGTTCGATGAAACATCCGATCGTATTTTAACGCCGATCAATGGAAATATTATTAACCGAGAAACTATTCGATATATTATTTTTGCACCGATGTTCAAACTACGGATAGTTGTAAAAAAAGAAAATCTCGTCGAGCGGTTTGGTCGTCTTGCAATGTTTCCTAGCCTCTTCTTTAAATCCAGACAACTCCGGATCGCTTAGATCATGCTGCTGGCCAGAAAATGAATTCGTTGCAACGTACAGGTATCGCAAATTATTCCCCGTACGTTTTGTGAAAAAAGATTACGATTAAATCGATTCCCTTGGAACCGCTCGATAAACGCGTCGTCGAAACCTTCTCAGAAATGGACACGCGAAAAACGTTCGTTCCATTCCTACGGTTTCCAGCAACCTGTTCGGTTCGTGTATGCATAGTTTGCATAGTAAAAGGTCCGCTAACCTTTAACCGTTTTTATTCAAAAAGAGTCGAAGAGAAAAGACACGGGAAAGAAACGATCATCGCGGCCCGTCACCAGCTACTCGAATAATCGATGACGATTTCGCATTGCCAGGTATAATGACACAGGGGTGATATGAATAACATCGGATAAAAACAATAAAAACCGCGCATCATGAAGGAACAGAAATCATAAAATTTTTCAACAAAACCCCACCGATTATATCTGACAATCAATCATCCAGTCAGCGCGATACTGGCTGACAAAAGGCAAAAAAAAGAGATTCGTACGCAAAAATTCGTGTCGCTCGTCGAATACATCGCGCGGATACATTGTTTCTCCAACTGTTCGTTTAGTCAACGCCAAGTCAATTATCGCGCGGTTCGATCGTTCTCGCTTTTCTTCGAGAAAACGTCCTTTCTCGTTGCCGGTCGTCCTCGATTTCTCTCGATTTTCGTCCAATGAGGTCTCCTTTCGAGCCGGCTGCCGCTTTTCTCGTATGTATCACAGTCTAATGCCCGCAACGTCGTCCCTCGCGTCGATGATGGTCCTCTCGACGACCGATCAAAAGAGATACGGCGATGGTTCGCTGAAGCCACAATCCTTGCAACTTCTCTGTCAAAAAAAAAAAACAGCAAGATTCACGTCTCGAACAACGGAAAGCGAAATATCGATAATGTCACGCCTCCTACGACTTCGTTTGCACTGTGGGAACTTCCGAGCGAACTTGTTTCGAGTTTATTTTGTCCACGATACTGTCAAAATAATCTAGTTTTAACCACGGAGTGACCGACCGAATTCGACAGCTTCGCGAAGCTCAGTTGGTTCTCTCGCTCTCTGCGTCGAAATTCTTCCTAACGAAAAATAGAAACTTGCGATGCACGACTTCTTGACCGCTCGTTATCGACAAATGCACGATAAAATCAAAAAGGTTCGCACGTGGGATTTGAAAGGCAACTTTTCTAAAGTACGATCTCAGATTTATTTTACTCTTCTGATTCTCCTCTCTAACCGTCGAAAATTATCTGCGCGTGTTTAGAATATAAAAAAAATCTGGGTGTTATCGTTGTTGGATCAATCTCGATCCGCAGCCTTGGCGAACACCGTCTCCGTCGTGGGTAGCAAAGTCGCGGAATTTCCTTACGCCAAATACTGGAGGAAACCTTGGCCCTTGAAGTATTGGACCGTCGGTTTGATTGTCTGTTTACCTGTATTATACGAAGTTCAAGCGATGGCGTACCCCAAAAACGAGATCGTACGTAGCGACGCAGAAACGCAGGTGAACTTTAATAAATTCGAAAAGGACAACGTTTGATTCGAACAGAAACGTTTTGGAATCAAAAAGGTGATGGCGTTTGTAATTTTTCTTCTTCTTACGTAGGAAACGCCGAATTACTCGAGATAATTTTACGTATCGAAACAGTACAAATTAATTACCGTGTCTGTAACGAGTCATTGCAAAAATTTTTACAATGAAACGCTGTACCGTAATTAATGTATCGTGCAATGGAGGATACTTTTGTATACGATGTACTTGATAAATTGTTTCGTAATATTAAATACCTCGCTATCCGATGATTTTCTTTCTATTTATTGAACATGTATCGACGATCAAAGATTTCCTTACCGTTGGATATTCCTCGATTAAACCGTATTCGCCTAAACGATAGTAGATCGATCGATTTTCCATGAAGCTTTTGAAATCGTATCGTGGCATCGTCGGGACTCTCATCTGCCAAAACGGTTCTCTGATGTTCGCTCCCAAGTTTAATATATCTCGTTGCTTGTAGTAAATACGAAATTGCGTGTTCAGCTACGAGCAAAGTTAACCATCGTTAAGCCCAATCATTCTTTATTCGCCTTCGAATTTGCGATCGAAGCGAAGATACAAGTTAAAGGATTTATCTTGGACACGTTAAGCTATGGGAAGACCCAATAAAAATTTGAAGATTACGAACCTTTTGTTGCTTTTTGGGAACATCTTCGGCGGGTGTTCCTGGTCTGGAAGAAGCTGGCGTTTGTCCCGGCGTCGACGATTCGATAGAAGGCACGAGACTACCGACTCCGCTCGATTCGCTGCAAGTACTCGGTGAAATCGGTCCATAACCGGCCAAAGTTCTCAATCCTTGCTCGTACAAAAGTCTACTTCCTATCGCGTAAAAGTGTTCAGCTTCTAAACCAGACAGAGGCAAAGCTATCGACAATGCCATTTCCACCTTGCTTGTTATATTCCGTATTTCGCATGTAAATTTGTTCGTTTGGGGCTTTGAAACGTACGGATCGAGACAACCGTTCGTTAACCGAAGACCGTTACGACGTCAACGGACGACTAGATGAATGTTTAAAGTACTCTTCTTATTTCTGTATAGCGTTCGCATACCGAACGATGTATTTACGCGCTTGTCCGTGATCGTGCGCGAAGGTAAACACGACCTTCGTAACTTTGGATTAGAATTATAAACGTATATTGAACAGCGGATGGAAAGTATATTACGATCGCTAATCCAGATCGATGAATGACGACAGTGGACCGATCCGTCTGTTTCGATTACGATTCGCGAAATAGATTTCTCGAGACGAAAGAAATTTTCCCTTCATGATATTCCTCGAAACCATCGCTTATTATTCTTCGCACAGTTATTTTACCGCGATACAAAATTTTGCCGAAAATAAGGTTAATAATAACGAAATGTTCAAAATACCGCAAGAACGAATCGATAAAGTTGCTGCAACGTTTTATCGACAAGTATCTGTGACCTACCGTCGGTAAAGGCGGACACTTCCAGCCTGTACCAACGCTAGTTTATTCCCTCCCCAATGGGAAATAATACCGACAGTATCCAAGGAAGTTTCTTTACCGACTGCCGTTGAAACGTACATGTTGTGGATTCTACGTGTCTTTCGATTTTCGTTTCAACTTCATTAACTGACTAAACAATTGTTAATACCAGTACCAAGTAATCTATCCAATTTCCTTCCGATTTTTTGTAATTTTAGTAAAAAACATTCAATTTGTCTCTTCCATGTGTTGGTAAGAACTTTTCTTACTAGACTGCATTATCGACAATGTTGTGACTTTATCGTGTTGTCGATGATTGCCACCAGAGGGTCGCGAATTCGAGGCAGATTCGTAGTTTCGGACTTAAAAGTTTCTCGCAAGTGCTTGGTAATAGTCAAAGTTGCTATATAAGGCACGTCTTTAGAGTACGTTTGCGTGGTCCGGTGCTACTCAGGAAGACCGACGGGTATGCAGTAACATGCTCGTTCTGAAGCGGTGGGGCCCTCCAACTGCTGCTGAGGAACGGTGGAGGTGCATGCGACGGGAAGGGAGAACTTTGGAGGGGTGTCAAAGTGAAGAGAAGAAGGAGAAAGAAAGAGGAAACTTTGTTGAAGTTAGACGAGTAAAAACAAAAAAGGGGCGCGGGAGTTTTCTACTACCTCTCTCTCCCGTGGTAGTTCGCAGCATTCAGAGATTTTCCATGGAACTTCGAATTTAGAGATACCGAGTACCGAGTAATTATGAGTTTTTCAGTGTGACTAACAGAAAAAAGCGCGTTTGAGAAGCGCTGAGATGGGGTATGGCTCCGGGGGGAAGCCAAAAAAACACTTTCGTGCAACCACGTTGGATATGGGGTTTGAGTTTGGTGCGGTGGCGCGTTTATCCATTGGTGTCGTCCTTTGGCAGGACGAGGGAAGGAGGAGCGGGGGAATAAGTGAAACAAAGAGAAAGAATTCTGTGACCCCCTCCCCCCTCTCCTGTGGGAACAAGGGTTAATGTTGTGACGGCCCCCACCACCACCCCATTACTGGTAGTAATGCGACGAAAGGAGGAAGATTTGTAGAGAAAAAGGGCCGGCTGCTGTTTTCAGTTGAAGATCCCCCCACCTGTCGTTGAAATATGTGTCTCGTGTGTCGTCTCCTTGCCAGTGATGGAGATAATAATAAATAGTGTTCTCTTCGCAGAGGAAGAAGAAGAAGTTTTGAGAAATAATATGATGAATATGTTGATGCTGACGGTTGAAACAGAGAAAATATGAAAAAGAGAGGGGAGTGAATTAAAAACATAACAATTTAAAAAAAAAAAAAAAAAAAGTGTCGCAACCCTCCATTGCCCGTTACTGTAGTAGCAAATCTTCGACCACACTTTTTGCTTCCACAAATTTTTTTTCGAAATATGCAGGTGGGTAACTTGTCCTGCTATACCGACAGTTTCTACTCCTACGCGGGTGTTCCATAGATACTCCGCCAGGGTATAGCAACTTCATTCGCATTCCTGATCCCTGTTTAAAGATTATTTTAAGTTTTCGATTACCGATTGTTGAGGTACATAATCAATCGTTTCTGAAGAAATCATCATCGGAGTATGTCCTTTTCGAGCTGAAATATGATGGTGCAAGAATCATTGACCAACTATTAACTCGTTAATAAATTAGAGAAACTCAATGTCAAAGAATTAGGTGTTCCCTGCAAATTTACGTATAGTATATCGTAGACTTTGACGTTATGTATTCGTGCAAAATACAGATGTATCTCCTGTTTGCACGTTATGGCGCGTTTTCTTGGAAGCCGATGTGGCCGCGTATACCGGGTGTCCGATTCACGCGTGCCTAACTACGCGACCCATCCGGTGGCCCTAGCAACGCACATGCGCCTTTCTTGGACTCACTTCTCTCCAGTTTCTCTCTCCGGATGGTTGGGGATTGGCCCGGAGTAACACCCCCTCATAATGGGTTCACCCGTCCGCGC